CCATCGGGGTTGGGTTTTCCTCGCTTGGCAACGACGTTGTAAAACAAGCCCCCCCTGGAGAATGACCCCCCCCCCGGTGTTTGCCATCGGGATTGGGTTTTCGTCGCTTGGCAACGACGTTGTAAAACAAGCCAATTCACTTCGTGAACTCGGCAACCAGGTTACCGTTTTTTTTTTTTTCCTCCGTTTATTTTTTTTGGGCGGTAACCATAATGATGGTTGAGTAGATCATGTTGTGCGGGGTGAACCCTCACTCCGCGCAAGGGGGATGATCGCACCACGTTGTGTTAAAATGGTCAAGCACCCTCGAGGCAGTTACACAGTGCTTACAACTGTCTCAGGAAGTGAAAGCACCAGAAAATACATTGAGTCATACGCAGCTGTCATCCTTACGCAAGGAAGTAAGCACAAGATGCCGAAAACCCTTAGCAGGATGCAGCGCACCCTTCATGCGACTCGCCGAATATCTCACGGCCCTTCGCGCTTGGTGATGTGAGAGCCTGGTCCGGTGAGAACCCGGCGGGCTCCGTCCCGGCTTTGTAGGGATGCGAGGTCAATGGTCTAACGACTACGGCATGCACGACTATGAGTACACCCCCCTCCTGTGTGACCCCGGTTGGGTCGTCTAGCTGGTAGAAGTGGAGGATGGGGGCCAGAGGGGCAGACGACAGAGTCCAATCATGGGAGAAAAAAAAAAAACGATACGGAAGAAAAACCAAGTCCACCTTCTTCAACACTAGAGAAACATGAAATAGAGAAATCTACGGAAGGCAAGCAGCGCACCCGCTTGCACGTATCGGTCCCGTCCAGGGACGGGTTAACTGCCGCGCATTCTTCCTCGTCCTGATCCAGCGGCTCCAGGAGTGCACGTACTTCCTTGTTCCCTGTTAACGAGGGCACGTGGCCGTGCGCTTGAATCTCGTCGTGGGCCTGTACCTTTGCCTGCTCAGATCGAAACGGAACAAAAAAAGAACACGGTCAACCGTTGATACCCATCAAATTGTTGGTGTAGCATGCAGCGGGGAAGTACCATTAACGGGAAAACTCGCGATCACGGTCAATGTTTGATATCCATCAAGTTATTGTCGTAGCATGCAGCGGGGGATCACCTGCTCATATCAAAACGGAAGAAACACTGTCACCATCACTTTTCCATCAACTTGTTGTACACGGCGTGCAACCCGGAATGTGACGGTGCGCGGGCTGGTACACAATATGGGGAAAAAGTCCGTACAGGACCACCACACGGCCCAGATCACCTGCGATCGTTTGGTGCTCTCCGCCAGCGCCAGGCACTTCTGCTCCTCAATAGCCCACAGCTTCTCTTCCTCGGCCTGAGCAAAATTAAAAGGGGTCCGTTGACAACGACACAACAATCGACGAACGACAAGTACGCGGTAAACAAAACGTGGAAGTGTGTTGTATCCGCGCGCGAGACTTGAGATGCCCTAGGCCAGACTTAGACAGACAAGAGCCGGAGAGAGAGAGAGAGAGAGAATGCCGGCTTATTCTGTGGTGGAAGTACAGTCGACCCCGCTTTAAAGACACACACACCGCGTTTTTTTTTTTGGAGTGTCTTTAACGCGGGGAAGTGTCTTTAGGATTCCGGGGCCACTAATTCACCGTCCCCGGGGTCAATGGAGGTGTAACATGTGTCAAAATACGCGCATTTGAAGCAGGAATGCGACCACGAAATTGTGCTGCTTAAAAACTGCGACAACACGTCAATTGAAGGCCGCAACACTACTGCTGCTGTACTCCAATACTGTACACATTTTTGAATTTCCCTCCACCACCGAAACGCGGGAAGGAGTACAGCACGACCTATTGTAATGTGTACGGCAGTGTGCGCTGGTGTTGTTGTAGGCTTTTCTTGTCATGGCGTTGTCCTCACGGTGAACATCATGCCCGTGATATCGCGAACACACCTGAGACACATCAGTTTGTTGGAACTAGCTCTGATACGATACACGCAAGTTACCTGCCACATAGGGACCAAACAAACCCAGTCGACCCCTTAGAGGGATCTGAGGGACACTAGGAAACGGTCGGTAGCGCAGACCACAACATACAAAAAATCGGGCAAACCCACCGAAAAGAGAACACCGCTCTTCCCCAAAGGTCAACACGAGGCAAAAACACATACAAAAAATGCCAAAATTTAACTTTACGAGAAAGGCAAAAAAATCCGAAACAATGACACGAGTTGAGACTTTTGCTGGCACGTGGGTTCGCCACATGGCCTCAAGCCGGCAGCTGACGACCCGCCAGCAGATGGGAGGAATCTCTCCATACCCACACGCAGTAGTGCGGGCTGCAGCAGACCGCTGTCGATGTTACAATGCCTTACAGATTTGCTGCCCCAGCAAATATTTTTTGGGGGGGCCGCATAGTGGAAACGCTACCCCCCTATATTATTGTACATCTGCGGGGCACCATGTTCTGGGGAAAAAATGTGTCTTTATAGCGGGGAGTTTCCTTAAGAAGAGTGTCTTTAAAGCGGGGACGACTGTATCCCCAGGGATGACGGGGCGTTCCCCATGTCGCTCTGTTGTCTGGTGCTCGTAGTTATTTTTCGTAGTAGGCGTTTCCCGTGTATTCATGAATGTCCAGTGGATCGAAGTTCCTTCAACAATTTTGGCAAACTTTCTACTTTCTGCGCTTTTCCCCCATATTGCGCCCTCCGAAAACAAGATTCCCGACGTGTTCAAGCATTTCCACTAGCTGAGGTTTTACAGCAAATCTGACCAATTTCAAGTCCCCAGAAACCGCGCGAATCCAGTTTTGACCATGGGGTGAAACTCGGAGAAGTAAGAAGGGCCGATGCACAGTATACCGATCGTCCGGAGGATTCCCGAAGATTGTTCCATTCCTAATCACATTGTTGGTCTCGACACATACGTCGGGGCCCATTCATCGGTATATTGTGCTCGAACCCCAAAAATGGACTGTGCGAAACGTGTGTGTTTCGTTCTGTTCAAGGGCATCGACCGACGAGGCCAAGCATCCGATCCGCGAGAAAGGCGTGCAAAGCGGGACAAGAATGCATACAGCGCCTCCCAAAAGAGACGGTGTGTGTCGGTGCGCCACGGAAACTCTGGCACGGTAAACCACGGCAGAGGGCCACTCACGATTTGAGCATGGTAGCGCCGGCTCTCCTCAGCAAGAGCTTTTCGAACTTCCTGCGGCCCGAGGGTTACATTTTCGGCGCGTGGGGGGCGGGGTGATGTGCGCAACAACGTGGATACCCCATGTGAGGCGGGATCGTAAAACGTGTGGAGCGGCAACATCACACCATGGAATTGCAGCATGGCCAATCGCGGGCAGCGAAGAAGGGAGTACGACGATATCCAAGCACGACTCGATTTCTTCCGGGTCTCCGGGAAATCACCGGACGTGCCGTCAACAAAGAGACAGCCGTATCCCGCATACGGTGGCATGTACTTGTGCCATGGCTACACACGCTTGCGTGGCAATGTACCGCGAAAAAAGCCGGTTCGTGGGTATGTACCGCGGAAAGCCGTTTTCAACAAAAATGATAACAACAATGCAAGCCTGTCTGCTTCCCACTTTCAAGTCAACGCTTGCCTAAAACTATTGGTAGACGCAAAAACATGCAGGAGGTACTCCGTCATGACCGTGATCTCACACACTGCTGCTAGCGGCACAACGCATTTGCGTTCCACCTTTGACCAAGGAACCCGTCTCTCTGCTTCAGACCGTTCCAGGTGTTTTGTGCAGATATGAGTAAAGGTGAGAACGGCATTTAGCGCCAAGAATCCCCTCCCTCCTCCTCCTCCTCCTCCACCACCATCACCCCCACAACTACGAACAACAACTTCAACAACAAAAGCAAAAACAAAAACAAAAACATCATCAACAACAACAATACGCCAGTCTCTCCTTTCTCCACCTTCAAGTCGACCTTCGGTCGGGGGTCAAGGCCGGCACAGATTTCCTTCGCGTGCTTGAGGATCTGCATTCCGGAATCCTTGCACGCCTGCACAGCGGCCTTGCAATCGGGTTCCTTCCCGCGCTTCCTGGGAACAGGAAAAGATACGTACAAAGAATAATAATAAAAAAAAATGGAAGCAAGACTCCAAAAACGGAGTCCACGGGTGGCGGGCCGCACGTACACGCACCACATCAAGAGTTGTGATTGCGATGGCGCGCGCGGAAGTAAGAGTCGTGCGTATTCTTACCGTAGACTGCAAAGCTCGAGGGTCAACACTACTCAACAATACACACCGGATGAGGCCCTTGATCTCCGACGCCACGGCAATCTTGAGGGCATCGCTCATGTTCCGCGGCTTCGCGTAACCGGCAGTCTCCGGCAACACTTGCGGGTACCGGGGCACCTGCGACCCGCCCCACACGGCACACATACAAGCAACCCACCCGCCGGTGACGGTGAACAAGATACTGGTATACGTCTTGGCCCTGTAGGTGATACTTTTGCTTTCAAGCGGCAGCACAGCAGTAGTCCAGCGAGGGCCAAACACGTCCCGATGGACGGCTGGATTGAAGAGGGCGCCGGACAAGGGTGGGTGTGTGTGCGCCGGCGGTTACCGGAGCAAGCGGACAAGTCTGTTCTTCACGTGTGCAGGCCCCATGCATTCGCGATCGCTGTTTTCAAGCACACCTCCAGTTTCGAAGAGGCGCACTCGCTTTGGCTTTGTCGCAGTCAGCTCTCTACTGCTGAAATACTCCTGCACGGAGTGAAACCCATATTCATGTCCGACTTTCCCCTCGCGGTGCTATTGCAGGGTGATTTGTTTGCGACCTAACTTCCGCGTCGGGCAGGAGGCGACCTATAAGAGGGGTTTGCGTTTCCCGAACCTGGTTTTGCCGGTCTGAACTACGTAGCTGTTTCCTGAAGTCCGATGTGTTGACGAGCAGTGGGGTTTTCCCTAGGTGTTGTTTCACCCGTTTCGTTTGACCGCGGAAATTCTTGCCATTGTCTTTGAGGAGTGCTGTAGGGAAGAGGGGGTTTTGGACAAAGGCCAATACTACTTGTTCGTGAAAAATAAAATAACGGTGACTCGCAGGAACCATAAAACACGTACAGCTGTATGCAGATGTCCTCCGCGTTGAGGTCTGAAGAGGAAAGGACGGGGGAAAGTGGAGTAAAACACATCGTATCGTAACGCGAAGAACCTACCCACCTTACGAGCCGACTTTGCTGTAGACGATCTTCGCGTTTTTTTGCCAACATTTGGTCGTGATCTTGGCCCCGCTTGCTGCTCTTTCGAGGAGGAGAGCGCGCTCCGTGGGTCGACCACCGCTGACGACGCCTCATCTGCGTCCCCCCCTTCGGCGACGGCCGGCTGTTGCGCCGGGACGCCGGCGCCACCTTCCGCAGCGACCGCCGGTACCGCCGCGGCGTGTCCGTTGCTGCTGATGTTGCTCATGTCGCTTTTGCTTTCGTTTCCTGCTGCTGCTGGTAATGCTGTTGCCGTTGCAGCTGCTGCTGCTGCTGCTGCTGCTGCTTCCTGCTTTCGCTTCTTGCGGCGCCTTGCTCCCCCTGACTCATACTCTTCCTCTCTGCGCGCCGTCCGCAAAACCAAACGAAATGGCACACCAGCGCAGACAAACAGCGGCGATATGTAGGCAAACCGTGCGAGCATTAGAAGCCGTGGGTTCTTCCACGCCAAGGGACGTTGACGCAACCGAGTTTACCGTGAGATTTACTACATACTTCAAACGATAATCTCCAGCAAAAAGACGCCGCCGTCTGCATCCAGCGGGGGTATGTACTGTAACACCGGTCGCCCCGGTGGTCTAGAGGGTAGCCTCGCACCCTGCTAAGGGCCACGTCACGGGTTCGAGTCCCGACAGAGTGAGTTTTTCTACCTAATTAAATCCTGGTCTCCGTTGGAAGCGACGCGCTGCAAAGCTCGTTAGTAAACTTGTAAACTTGATCGACTCCATATGTCGCGAGGGAAGGGATTGCTGTACCCTTCTCGCGATAATAATGTCTCAGGCAGGAACCACAGGAGGGGGTCCAAATTCCCCCTCCTATGTGACCCCGGTTGGGTCGTCTAGCTGGTAGAAGTGGAGGATAGGGGCCAGAGGGGCAGACGACAGAGTCCAATGATGGGAGAAAAAAACAAAACAAAACTGGAGTTGGCTGTCACTTTGCAAGCACTTCTGCTGTTACGGTAGCCTGCCTGATGCCGTTTGGGGAGCTTTGCCCATCCTAGGAGGGGAACGAAGTGCGAACAAAAAAGGGTTTATGGTACGGGCTGCTGCTGTCTGGTGCCTGGCAAGTGTAGAGTGCAGCAACTACTCGGGGAAGGTTCGCTGCCTGCAGACGAAACCATCATATGCATACGAACTTCCGTGGCGGCACCGATGTTCCGTGTCTCTTGTACACACACCAATCATTCTCTTGTTCATTTAATGGCAATGTCGTAGTGCGACATATGTACACCGACACCTGTTGGGAACATTTTACGAAGTGTAGCCTTTAGTGTGGTACACTAATGCAGAGATACATGTTTCGATTGAACCCAGTGGGTTGCGCGAACACCGGCTGGCCTACTTTTTCACCTGCCGTCCAGCGACCTCTGCTGCAACAACTTCTCCCTCACCAGCTTTTCAATTTGAAGGTGAGGTACCACAGCAGTATTTTTGAACACGTCGTCAATTACCACGGGCATCATACAAGTGGAAGGCAGTTTTGTGCTCATGCATTCTGGATTCGCTGTTATGCGCAGGATGCTCCTAACTCTCATGTTGGCTTCGTACCGGTCGACTGCGGCCGCCTGAAGCGTTTCGCGTAACGGGACCTCGCTCAACGGTACATGATACGCTGAAATTAACCGTCACTGCCACTTCTCCGAATCCAACCCTCTCCTCACTCACGTGTCGGTTCCCTCCGCCTCTGCCCCCTGCCGCTCCGCCGCCCTCTTCTTCCCCTTGCCGCCCTGCTGCTGCGGCCGCGTCTGCTGCTGCTGCTGCGTGTCCACATCCGTAGCACTCCCCCCGCCTGACTCAACTTCCGCTCTCGATACCGACCGCTTGGTCACCACCGGCGTGACCGTCGCGAGGTTAGAAACGTCGTCGTAGCTGAACGTATCCACGCCTTCGCCTCCACTGCTGGCACCCGTCGCATTGTCGTCACCACCTCGGCCAAGCCCGGCGGTGCCTGCTGCTGCCGGTGTGCCCGGATCGAAAGCGGCTTCAAACTGGACCCCTTTCCCCGCCCCGCCTGGCGTCCCCACCTTCTGCTTCTTTTGGAGCGGGGGAGCCCTGCTTCTGCTGCTGCTGCTGGTGGTTCTCCCTCTGTTCTTTCCCTTGCTCCTGCTGCTGTAGCCGCCTCGCTGAGGGGTACTCATGATGATGATGACGCAATCAGGAGGGCCGTGATTACCAGAGCGAGGCAACGGCGGTTGTTTAAAATGGACCCGATCTCTGCCCTCTGTTCCGTGTCGGCCAGTGTTTTTTTTCCCGCACCAAACTAATTGCCGAGCTTCTAGCTGCGACAAACAACCAGAATGAATGACCTGGAGAGCGTGCCCTTGGAAGAGAGAAAAGGGGGCGTGCGCGTGATGAGTGAGCTACACACGCCCACAGCAGCAGCTCGCGGATGTGCTCTGGGGGATTCGCAAATCGCATTCACTGAAAACCTCATATCCCATAATTTCGCTTGTTGTGCCCCCGCAAAATGTTCCAACGGCTTTTTTGGCTCGACCGAGACAAGAGAGCGATGGGAATGAGAGCCACAGAAGGACAATAACCGCCGTAATAGGAAAGGGAGCATAGGAGAGAAGGCTAGCACCGAGCACATCAACAGGAAAATCATGGTGAGTTCTCGTGATTCGTATCCCATCTGCTGTTCACGAGGAACATGTGCTGTTGTGCTTGTTCTTGCCTTGGTACAGCAGCATGGCTGCGAGGTACATAGCCTATCCCATGTTGGCCACCTAGCAGCCGCTGCTCATCGGCTACTGCTTGCGCTGGCTCCTGCAGAGACATAGGCTCGAGCGCTGTCCTCTTCGCCTGCCTGACAGTACTCGACATTCATGTGCACGTGTGAGAGAGGGAGTGCGGTGGTCTCTACATAATCAGAGTGCTAGCTTGGCAAGCGGTGTGATTAGCTTCGTGTACCAGAGAGAGCGAGAGATAGAGGACAGAGTATTCAGGAGGCCGTGCCCGCACGATCACCTCGACCGTGCAGCTACTATTGTGATTGTCCTGTGGTGCAAACCGGAGAGGCGTTTCGTGCGGCGCACGTGTGTTCCAGCAGTAGACTGCGGAACATGGGTATCAGCGCTTTCCGCGCCAAAACGACACTTTCGCGCAAAAATGAAGATGACGGAACGCAGTGCGGGGAGGTGGTGCGGGGAGGTGGGGGTGGTATGTGGTCCTCCGGGGGTGAAGTGCAGCAGCGGTGACAACACTTGCTCGCAACTGGAAACACAGAGTTGTGCGCATGTCGAGATACGATGGGACAGACCCACTCTGCTAGTACTATTTAGAGCAAAAACAAGAAGTAAGTCCGTTCCTGCAGCACTAAATTTGTGGTCGATGGAGGTGCACCACGGAGGTGTCGCCTTCGCCGATGAAGTTGTCACGCCTTTCCAAAATGTTTTGCACGAAGTACAAAGAAGTCAGCCGCGGTGCCGTGTCACCCTTGCCCAACACGGAAAAACAGAGCAACAACGCATGCACGGTCTAATTTCGCGTTGTTCGACTCGGCTGCATTTGCCCTCCCGGCAAATCTCGAAAAACAATCAAGCGTTCACTTCACGACTTTTATTGTCGTCTACACGCGAGACTGCTGTACGCCACCACCTTCACCACTGCTGCAGACCAAACACGAGACTTACGCCCCCACCATTTTTTTTTGTTGTTGGTACTGTGGACATCGCACCAGACTTCCGTAGCACAGGCCTCGAGCACGGAGAACGTGATCACGCTGCGAGGGTCGACGGATGTCGTCACCGACTTCTTCTACTACGCCGTCAACAGGTGGGTCAACCGGCGCAAGGCAGTGAAGGTCAACACCCAAGCTTGAGTGCCGGGCTATGTGGATACACGACTGCTGTGTACCATGGTCTGCATTCGGCGCTGTCGACCCCATATGCTTTTCGGATGGCGCAGGCACTTAACCTGCTGGTGCTTTGGATGCTGCTGCTGCGCCTGTGCCTCATTTTTTCAACACACGACCGAGCGGTCGGTGGGATTCATTTCCCAACGATGGCAGCGTTTCCCCTCAATCTCGTTCGTCTTGGGTTGTTGTGTGCCGATACCAACATACCTACATGTCCGCCCCAGTCCGTGCATCCACGTAAATTCCATCGAGTTTTGCAGCTTCGGGCTTGATATCTTACCCGTTTACTACGTATTATCCATTCAACAATCGACAAATAAATTTCAGGTACGAGCCGAGGAGCGCGTTTTCCACCCCAGAAAAAAAATGATGAGCAGTCGCGTTGCCGAACCCTTTATACCCTGATTTGGCCAAAAAAGGGGGAATTTGGATCAGAAGAACAGTCGTGCTTGTGATATTTTTATAAAACTTCTTCATGCGTCTTCATGCGAAACAAGGGAATCTTCGATTTTTCTAGACAGATAGACTTTTGGGGGATTATATGTATACTACGATAGGAATCTCCATATTCATCTGATTTGTTGTGCGTTGCGACCCCCCCCCCC